TCAGATCAGGGGGGCCGTTCCTCCCAATCACGCCCCTCCAAGTGTCTCCATCATTGCCCACATGTGCGTTGAAGTCTCCCAGCAAGATTAAAGAGTCCCCTTCAGGAGCCCCATTCAGGACTCTTTCCAGGGTCTCCAAGAAGGCCGTATACTCTGAACTGCTGTTTGGTGCATAAGCACATACAACAGTCAGAGTTTTCCCCCCCATAACCCGCAGGCGTAGGGAGGCGACCCTCTCGTCCACTGGGGTAAACTCCAACAACAAAGCACCCAACCGGGGATTTGTGAATATCCCCACACCCGCCCGGCGCCTGACACCTTGAGCAATTCCGGAGAAGAATAGAGTCCAACCCCTATCCAGAAGTAAGGTTCCAGAGCCAACGCTGTGCCTAGAGGTGAGCCCAACCAGATCCAGCTGGTAACGCTCCACCTCCCGCACAAGCTCCGGCTCCTTCCCCCCCAGAGAGGTGACGTTCCACGTCCCCAAAGCCAGCTTCTGTCGCCCGGGTCTGGTCCGTCGAGACCCTCTGCTTTCACTGCCACCCTTCTGGCAGCGCACCCGACCCCATCGCTGTTTCCCGTAGGTGATGGGCCCGCGGGACGGAGAAGCGGAGGTGTTGCCCACGTTGCCTTTTCGGGCTGTGCCCGGCCGGGCTCCGTGGCAAGCCCGGCCACCAGACGCTCGCTGACGAGTCCTCCTTCTGGGCCTGGCTCCAGAAGGGGTCCCCGGGCTTCCTCCAGGCCGGGTATCCTCACTTCTTTGTTGTTCTTTCATGAGGTCTTTTGAACCAATCTTAGTCTGGCCCCTTGACTGAGACCAATTTGCCATGGGAGACCCTACCATGAACACAAGGTTCCAGACAACACATCCCCCAGGTTCATCAAGGCACACAAACCTCTCTACCACGGTAAGGTGCTGGTTCTTCAGAGAGGAATTTGAAAAAAAAAAATGTTTTAATTAGCAGATGTTATGATACGCATCATAACCATAATTATCCCACAATGTATTCCTTTGCATGACTAAACTGCGTCTTTAAACCACACAAAGTACATTGACAGAAACATAAAAAACTAAAAGTATTTGTATAGAGTCATTTTTTATTTTGTTTTCATTCCCACAAAGAAGAAATGTACCACTTCTTAAGCATTTAAGCATTCAAATACACTCATTCTTTTAAGATATTATTCCTTTGTTTGCTCAGCATCTAGATGACCCCTTTCTGATGACCAAAAGTGTTTGATATTATGAAATTGCAAGAGAGCCTCTTGGCAACAGGACATGAACTGAATTTAGAGGATAAGTCATCCTTGCATGGGAAAGGGGTGCTTTCCTTGTTGAAAACAGGCCAGAGAAAACCCTGCCTGGGCCTAAAGGAGCAGCTGGGGGAAATACTGAGTCACAAAAACTCTCCCCAGCAGCAGTTCTGACCCTTTGGTTAGACTGTTTTTTTATTAATCAACAGTGGTGCCTGGACAGAGATCATCAAAAAAAAAAGATGGTTGTGAGGTGACCCAGCCTGCTGCTCACACAGCCTGAGGAGAGAGCTTAAATTGTGGAGTTTTTGCAGCCTATGAGGGCAAGACCGTCTGAGTAACTTCAGGAAAAAGTCCCTCTTCTCAGCCAAACACAGTAGAAGACCCCCTGGACTTCCTGGTTCACAAAACATATCAAAGTCTCAGTTCTAGTTGTTCCCGGAAATTAATGAAATTAAGGCACAAAAGGTGAAGGCTGAAGAGGGTGCAAAGGGAAGGAGAACAAAAACATGCAGTGATGGATGTAGCCAACTATCATGGGACACATCAGCAGAAGAACAAAGAGCTTTATTGAGAATAATTTGTACAACGACTAAGCATAGTCTCATAGGCCGTAATAAAAAACAGGAAAACAACACATTTCAAACATCATATGAGCACAGTCCGACAAAGACGTTGTGGTGTGTAGGACAAGAACTGTACATTACATTAGTTACAATTATAATTGTTTTACTCTGCTTCAATCAAGAAGAAAATGTTTTAATTAACTTTTTTACATTGTGATTGTCCCTGGGCAAGACACTTCACCCCAAATTGCTCCTGTGGGGATTGCCCACAATATTGAGTATGTAAGTCGCTTTGGATACAACTTGTAACATGTAATGTAATCACTGAACTAGTTCAACATTAGATCCACATCAACCAACTACAACAATAAAACACTGCTAACTAATTTATGCAAGAGTTACTTAAAGGTATAACTAATAATCATAAACTGAGAAGTATACAAGATGTAACTTTTGATTCTTCAAGTGCATTCTGAAAACACTTCTGTGCTATTAACAAAATCCATATAGAGGAAACAAATATAAAGGCTGAAAATGTGTCTGGATGGTCTGGATTCAAGCTGTCCGTACACATGCCCGATAGAGATGATAAAAAAGCATTTAAGGAAGTTAGAAAGATTATCCAATAAAGTTATTACCAGTTGTTCTTAATTCCTAAACACATAGATCAGTCGTTTTTCAGGACTTCCATAGGTCATAGACAAAGGAAGGAGAGTAAATGAATGGGTTTACAAATCTGAAGTACAAGTACATTCTTTCTCTCTCTGAATACTTCCTTTTAGCTTTCTCGATGTCTGTCTGTTATTTGCAGATACATGGTCTTTCCTCTTCTCTTGGTTGCACACCAACACATACATTTCAGTCAGACAACTCATGTGTTCTTAATATGTTTATTATAAGCAGCATATAGTTTGAGTTTGGCGTCTAGGCTCGGGCCTCATCACTCCACAGATTTACAAAGAACATTGAGTGATGATTAGATAACTATCCCCCGAGCCTACAGGTGGAGCTGGGGTGGTGGTGGGGCAGGCAAGTAGCAGCAGCATGAAACACAGCAGCAGGAACATGAATGCAGCAATAGCAAGTGAACCCAGCAGTGGCAGCAGCAGCATAGCGAGGCAGGAAGACATGGCAGCTTAAATAGAGTGGCATGTTTAGGAGAATGTGTTTGGTTGGTTGTACGAGGGACGAGGTGCGTCACGTGTTAATGAATCATTGGTGCTCGAGTTGACTGCCTGAACTAGCTCGCAGGCGTCGCCCCATTCATTTAATCTATTAGTTAGTGTGAATGCTGTTTACAGCATTCCACTATAGTACTTCGAATCTTTATTCTTCCCCTTAATATTATTATTATTTCAGCCAATACTTTGGCTCTCCATAACTTCAGCTTATTTTCAGCTACAGAAACCATTCAAATATTAAACTATTCAGCCTTTTCAGCAATTGATGGGAAACTTTCAACTTTTTCAAAATATTTCATACTTTTTGAAATATTCAGCTTTTTAAACTCTTTTTTTAACATTGAAGTCAATGGGAGATGCCTTCAAATCCTGTTTTCCTACACCAGACTACTACTTACATTTGATATCTTTATTTAACTCCTTCAGCCTAATTTCAGCTGCAGGAACCATTCAAATATCAAACTATTCAGCCTTTTCAGCACATGATGGGAAACTTTCAAATTTTTCAAAATATGTTAGACTTTTTAAAATATTCAGCTTTTTAAAGTCTTTTTTTAACATGGAAGTCATTGCAATGCATTTGAGCTGTAACAATTAACACACACACACACACACACACACACACACACACACACACACACACACACACACACACACACACACACACACACACACACACACACACACACACTCTCTCTCTCACACACATACACACACACACTCACTCTCTCTCTCACACACACTCGATCAAGAGAAGAGAGAGAGGGCGAGCAAGAGAAGAGAGAGAGAAGAGAGAGAGGGCGATCAAGAGAAGAGAGAGAGAAGAGAGAGAGGGCGATCAAGAGAAGAGAGAGAGTAATTTAACCTCCTAATGGAATGAATAACTCCTACGAAAATGTTCAAAAAGTGCTCAAACTTCACATGTGTTCTAATAGTTCAGCCGTGAAGACATCTACGGTTCAGTTTTGAGATTTCTTCAAATGCCGTTGCCATGGCAACACAATGCTCACCATGAAACACGGTTTTTCTCATAACTTCAGTGAAAATGCTCGAAATGGCCCAAAACTTCACCCGTATTATGGGGTGTCATCAAATGCTGTTACCATGGCGACAGATAATTCACCATCAAGTTAGTTCAAAAGTTTGCAGTTCAAATATTCTGCTGCTTTCCCAAGCCTTTTTACTTTCTTTTCTCTTCTTAATACAAATTCATTCACTACTACTTACATCCGATATTTAACTCCTTCAGCCTATTTTCAGCTGCAGAAACCATTCAACTATTACATTATTCAGCTATTTCAGGACATCAAGGCTATACATGTTGTTGTTTATACCTTTTTTTAAACTTTTTCTTTAAAATATTAAGCTTTTTCTGCATTTTTGTAGCTAAAAGCAACTACCATTCAGTTAATAACATATTCAGCTTTTTCTGCTAAATTCAGCCACAAATGTTCACAATTTACAGCATTCGCACGCATTTTCTGCAGGAAATGCATTTTCTAGTTAACTGTTGTTTCCTCTGAATGGATCCCTCCAATAAAGATAAGATGCTTATGGATATAATGTACACAGTGACAATTGCATTATTTCACAGTTTCAAAGGCTTTTGGACAGTTTGACCATACACATATTCACATCAAATCACCCAAAAAATAATATATATATGAGGAAGTATACAAAATATATCTGGGGATTATCCACACATTTCAAAGAAAACTTTCATTTTCTATGGAATTTCTTTTTTTAATTTTCAATTGAAAAGATTATATTATTCCTGTGTTCGTCTTTTCACTGTGTCTGATTCATTTTATTTGTACAGCTCTGACTTAAGGCCACAGTTGGTTTGAGGCAAGACATTGCCTATTAACCTTAAATGTTTCATTAAACTACAAAACATCCATAGCGAGATTAGAGAGACACACCCTCAAAACAGATCAGTAGGGAAGTAAACTTTTTTTAGTTCAACAAACTGTAACGGCAAGCCTGTGCATTAACATCACTATTCATTTTCCCTTTTACGGCACACAGCAAATGCATAAAGGAGTGGATTAAGGCAGCTATTCAACACTACCAGTGCTGTAACAAGGTTCCAGATTTTCCAGCAAAACTTCAACAGGGCTTCATTTTTGAGTGAAAGAGCTGCCAGACCAAGAACATTTGTGATGTAAAATGGCATCCTTAGAACAAAAAGGGTCACAATGATACTTGTGACCAGCCGGGTCGTCTGTGGGTTGTTGAAGAAAGCTGCTTGGTTCACTTTCCTGTGGAGGCCCATGTATGAAAATGTGACAACAGAAATTGAAAAAAATCCTATCAGGCACTCTTTCAGCAGCACAGCCACCAGCTGGGAAGGGGGAGCGTGGGTACCTGTGCAGAATGTCCAATGATGGCCTTTGATCACCTGTCGAACCACTAAAGCAGGGATAGACAGGATCATAGTAGGTAGCGCTGGACACTCAGCACTGTCACCGTCAGGAGGATAGAATAGAGGCTGCAGTACATGAAATATGCCAGAAGCTTACAAGCTACCAGGCCGAGAGTCCAGCCTTTCACAAAAGTGTAAATCCACAGAGGCAGGGGGAGCAGGCAGATCAGATCTGATATGGCCAAATTCAGCATCAGACTCTGGCTCAGACTGGACAGGTGCTGCCAGTTTGGCTTGAGGATGATCACAGCAAAATTTCCAAGAACTCCTAGCAGGAAGCAAATTTTAAAAAATGAACATAACTGCACTGCGTTAACTAATTGTGGAACAATTAAAGTTTGGTTAACTACACCTGCTGCAGTCTTTCTGACAGAAGATTTAGGCCAGACTTGTATTCATCTTTTTTCACAATAACCAAAAATGACCATATCTTTAGCATAACAAGGTTGATTTTGAAGTCATCAACAGTAGAGGTTGGCAGCATGCACTCTTGTACAATATCAATAACAGACCAGCATATACAGTAGATTAAAAAAGCATTTATTAAAAAAGATAATAATGGTAAACACACAAACGTTCTTTCAGCAAAATATCTACTCCTAAAAAAGAAAGCGTGTGTGTGTACCATAGACTGTATATATAAGGGTGTGTACACGTGCGCGCAAGAGCATTCATCAGGTCGGAAAAAAAACATGTGGGTAATGATGAGCTATTTTTAACTTTGTATTTCTTCTCTGTGTGTCTTTGAAGACCAACTCAAGGTACAACTATTCAATAACGTGACTTGAAAGAGACCAAAACAATAAAGCTCACTTTCTAAAATGAAACCACATGAACATTAAGACTTTCGAACAATATTAAGCAGTCCTATTCTTAGCCAAATATGCTATAAAAACTATATAATATCTCGATTTCATAAAAAATGCTAAACGCTGTTATGTTATACTATCGAAAGTTCTCAGGACGCTGTTCTCAAGACAAAGATGAACATTGAATCTCAACATTAGCATTTAGTTTGCAAAGGAAACTTCCAGATGAATTACTCTAATTCATCTTGATGACCACAAACATCATCCTTCAGTGTGATGACAGTAATTACTGAGCCTTTGATGTGTGGGTGTGTTTATCATTACAATGTTCATCTTTCAACTCTTCGCCTGATTAAATATAAAAATATATTACTTTTTGGGAAGTCCAGGGAAGTCAATGGTTAACCTAACAATTGATCAAAGACTAAAAACAAACTGCATATCAGCTGATATCTTTAGACTAACATATCTTTTTTTAAGTTCCATGAGTTATTGTAAAATGATTTCTGTGCTTTCTTTTAACATCATAAAAGTTCAGCATTTTGTACAGTTTTTTTGTGATCATGCAAAATCAAATGATTAGGCGTCCTATAATGTTGAGCTACTGCATTAACAACAGTATTACATTTCGCTTTCTCTGCACCCAGTGCACATGTTTCTGCACATGTTTCTAGAAGCAAAAGCATAAAGGAATGGATTCAGAGAGGAATTCAAAAATACCAGTGATTTGACAAGTTTGTAGCTGTTCAAGCAAAACATCCATAGGCTTTGATTTTTGAGCAAAATTGCTGCAACACCAAGTACATTTGTGATAAAAAATGGCATCCATAGGACAAAAAAGGCCACAGTGATACTTATGATGAGCCGGGTCGTCTGTGGGTTGTTGAAGAAAGCTGCATGGTTCAGTTTGCTGTGGAGGCCGATGTATGAAAATGCCACGACAGAAATTGCAACCAATCCTACAAGACACTCTGTCAGCAGCATGGCAACCAGCTGGGAAGGGAGAGAGTCGGTACGTGTGCAGGATGTACCATACTGGTCTTTATTGACATGTGGAACCACTGAAGCAGGGATAGACAGGATCATGGTAACCAACCAGAGCAGAACCAGAAGCCTCCTCTTTCCTACACATTTGAAGATCGTCTGCAGGTTCACCACCTGTAGGTAGCGCTGCACACTCAGCACCGTCACTGTAAGCATGCTAGAATAGACAACACAGTACATGAGATACGTGAGGATCTTACAGGCCACCAGGCCAAAAGTCCAGCTGTACAGTAAGGTGTAAATCCACAGAGGCAGGGGGAGCAGGCAGATCAGGTCTGATATGGCCAAATTCAGCATCAGACTCTGACTCAGACTGGACAGGTCCTGCCAGTTTGGTTTGAGGATGATCACAGCAATATTCCCAGGAACTCCCAGCAGGAAGCAGATGGACAGCACCACTGAAGGGACCAGACCGTAAAAAACCCAGAGGGCATTAGATGGATCTCCAGGAGTGGAGGAGATGTTAAAGGTGATCGCAGAGGTGTTTAGTTGTTCCATGCTGCAAACTTGGTGCTAGACGAGCTGAAAGTTGGGGACCGAGCGAGTAATGGCGACTCAGTCACTCTTTCAAAGTAACAATAAATCAGGAAACCAATGTCACCACTACACCCCCAGAGAAGTTAAAAATAACCTGACCACTACTTTTGACTTACTTTCTATTTGGTTGTGTGTGTGTGTGTGTGTGTGTGTGTGTGTGTGTGTGTGTGTGTGTGTGTGTGTGTGTGTGTGTGTGTGTGTGTGTGTGTGTGTGTGTGTGTTGAGACCAACTCAACACAGCAAAAACATTTAACACCAGTTTCTGGATTTATATAGGTCCAAGAGTTTGGTGTAAAATGTAAAATCCAAATAAAGAGTTAGATTTGAACACTATATAAATATATTCTATAACTGGTACTTTTTTGACACTGTTTGATTGCTTTCCAACACGTGCAGTGTAAACCTAGAACCCTCAGAGAGTTAAAAATGTACTCTTAGTCAGAGTGTCACTGTGCAGAGCTGATTATTCAACATTTTGAGAGAGAAAATGTATTTTTAACACTGTTTCAGTGCTGTTTAGCTGGTGTACACCAAACAAACAATTTCGGAGTGAATCATTAATACTTCAGGAAATAAAGTACACATCAGATTCTTGAAAACATGCGTTCATTTTCAAAAATGTGATTTTGATGTGTTTTAAATATAACATCTAATCAGTAGCAACATTAAACAACCCACAAAATACATTGGTCATACTGTAGGTGGAAATGTGTATACATTTGCTCATTAGGCCTCTTTAGCTCGGGGAAACACTTTAGAGGTCATCATTCCAAAATCCTGCTACAACAAATGGACAACGTGGATTACCATACACTAGTGATAATGTGCAAAGTAAACTGACAAAAATAGTGTTTTGAAACACTAACAATCACCGAGCAGGATGACCAACATCTAAAAGTGTACATGGCAACCGGTTTACATCAATGTTGTAGATGGTGGTCTGCAAAAATGTGTACATGCCGTTTAAGGCCTGGTCATAGGAGAACCCAAACAGATAATGTGCTTTAAAAAGTTCATCAAAGCTGACAAGGAAAACTTGGCCTTGCAGGGAAGGAGCTCGTCATCCAACGCAATGTAGTACTCATGGAGCTGTTTCTTGTGGTCCCAACACTGGACCAGAGTACTCCTGATGACTGTAAGATAACAATAAACACAAATATAACTACACTATGCATCATATTTTGATGGATGGGTCAGACACTGACAACAACCTTTGATAGCAAATCAGATCAGCTCGGCCATTACCATGCACAGAAGTCAAATTTAACATACACATTAATGCAGCAGTAATATAAAACCTAAAAGCATCCCAAAAATAGTAAAACACTGACAATTTCACTGCACAATGAGTGCTTTTACTTGATACTTAAAGTACATTTAGCTGATTATACTCGCATACTTTTACTCAGGTTTCAAGTGCAGGCCTTTTACGGCACACTTTATATTAAGGTACACAAATTAACCATCAACTAGTTGTTAATTAACATGCATATTAGCAGTATATTGGCTCTTTATTAGTCAGACTCATTATAAAACACTTATTAATGCCATATTCTACATGACCATATTCTACAAGTAATAAGCCATTATTTGAGAGTTTTTCCTCAATAACCCTCTAATTAGTGCTTATTTATTGCAAGTAAGGAAGAACCACGCTCTCCTTCACCACCCCAGGACAGACTGCGAATTCTCACAACACATGACCTCTCAACCCAATGCTTACATGCGTCCCCCCCTACTGAAAGAAATGTCCCCATTTCCACACACATGGTGAGAACACAACGAAACATAAAAAAAATAATAATACACATCCACAGCCCAAATAAAACATCAACTCGGTATGACATAACCTATTCCCCTGTCCTGCACTTGAAACATGAAAAAAAAACACAATTATGCAGCATAGAATACACAGGAGAAAATAAGCACACAAGCATGTAAACACCAGTCACTCAGCCCATAACAAAGTCCATAAAGCGGACAGGAGGCCACGCTAACCTCCCAGCCCGGGACACCGTCGGTGCGGCTTGTTCGAGCTCAGGGTAATCACCAGCTCCAGAACCCGGCCCAAGATCACTGTCACTTTCCCCATCAGAAAACCTCAAGCGTCCAGAGCTCTGTGGGGAGACTGCATCTTGCAACGGAAGAGGCTGAGCAAGGTTTAAGAGCAGAGGTTGCACTAGATTTTTTCGCTGCCCGTCATTTTAACACAAGCTATACCCTGTGTGGAGGAAACTTCTGTGTAGCAATGCAGTGGGAGTCACCGACTCATGAAGGAGACACGGGATGAGCAGGAGCTTTGATGTCAAACACTGATGATTTATTTGGAGTTTCGGCCGGAGAGTTGACAAGACAGGTGGTGTGTCACGAGTTGACACAGCGGTTGCCAAACCAATTCTGAAGAACTCTTTCTGTAGCTCGAGGTTTTATCTAGTTCGGAGTGTAATAATCAACATTCTTCATCAGTGAGACTAAACAAATATGGACCCTGAATCTAAGAGCTCTCGTCCATAGAAAAGAATGCGCGCCAGGGAACCTTCGTCCCTGAACAGTAAATTACCTCATGGCTGCTTGTGCTCTGTCATAGACTGGCAACAACAATGTGCCCAAGCTGCCCCTCTTTAAGAGAGATAGCAGCAATACCCAAGGCCGTAGACCTATGCCATGGGAAAGGAGACAGTGAGAGGAGAAAATGATGAACTGTGTCGAAGGTTGAATACCTAGGCAAATTATTCCCTAACAGTCTTCTCTTTTTATCAATTTTTGATAACCTAAACAACCTATTCTAATAATAATTTGTTCAATACCCTAATAAATAAGGTTCCTCAGAAAGGGTGTAGGGCAGGCATTCTACACAATGTTGCAAATATTCACATGAATAAAACATTTCAGATTGAAACAGGCAATCACAATCATAACAATTATCTCTCATCAGTGTTTGGAGCATCTTTTCAAAAGCACAATAATGAACATACATGAAATAATCACAGATACATAATAACATAAACATTTTAAAACAAATACATTTTATCATTTACTCATTAGTTAATTGTATTTAGCCACCTACAAAATCAAGACTAACTTGTAGCTCAAAGATTTACATCACGGCAAACATTTAGTCAGGGCGTCAATAAATCAGGATCATGAGAGATCGAACTATGGTTTAAAAAATTCACACTGGTGAGCTAATCAATCTATAATCTGCAAAATTGCAGTGTCAACAATTTAGGATTATATTTACGTTAGCTTCATTAAATATGAAATCAAAAGACTATGGCATGATAA